TTTTTCCACTTCTTAATAGTGTACTGGAGTTGCTCATAAGAGCAGAAGAAATAAAATGTATGAAGAGCTTTTAAAAAGTAACTGGGTGAGACTGGGTGCCTCAGGCTCAGTAATTTCAAGGAGTGACAGAGACTGACTCAGTTGTGGAGAGAAAGCTCTGACCCAAATGACAAGCAGAGTAAGTAGAATGTTAGTCAGAAAGTCAGCATGTAATAATGGATTAGAATTCTGGTACAACCACAAAGAATGTTACACTGAGCAAAGTGCCTAACTTCTCTGTAAGTATGTTACATGGTTACAAGACCTGACCCATAGAACTGCACAAAACTAATTGTAAATGTAAACCTTATTCCTTTCTACGGACCACCTCAAGTCTACTGAGAGTCTACTTTACTACAATGTAGTAAAGACAAATAGAAGTCACATATAGGCCGCCCATGATCTACAATTAACCAGTGATCAGATCTTGGGCAAGTCATTACCTTTCCTTTATGCACATTATCATGTATGTATAGTGAATGTTTATATATTTCTCATAAACAAGTAGATGGCAAAATAAACCCTCTTCAAGCTGAATAGTTGGTTTATAGATTTAAACCCCTAAAGATCTATTTTTTACACCCTACTATTTATATGTGTGTGTGTGTGTGTCAAGGTGGGTGGTGTGTTTATGTTATATGTTCCATGGTGCCTCTGGAGAGGTCAGAGGACAAGCTGAGGGAGCTGATGATGAACCATTGTTGGGCTCTCTCAGAATTTAGTTTAATTGTATTTTTATGAGACAACCATTACAAATCAAAAACACAAGTTCTTAAGACTACTTGTTATAAATGAGATTGCTCTCATGAGTAGCAGGTTAACAGTGTACTTGAAAGCTCTATAGCAAAATGAAAAAAATCATACTCAAAAGGAGTAGATAGCAGAAAAATCAAACTGAGGGCTGGAATCAAATAGAAACAACAATAAGAAAAGTTCTTTCTCTGAAGAAAAATCAGTAGGGACCTAACAACAGAGAATGAAGAAATCCAGAGAATCATAAGGGCACACTTTAAAAACATGTACTCCACCAAAGTGGAAAACTGAAATTAATATTCTCAATATATACCACTTCTCAAAGTTAAATAAAGATCAGACAAGCAATTTAAACAGACTGATAGCCCCTAGTGAAATAGAAGCAGTTATTAAAAAGTCTGCCAATCAAAAAAAGTCCAGGGCCATAGTTTTAGCATGGAAGTCTACCAGACTTTCAAAGACTTAATGTCAATAGTCCTCAAATTATTCCAGAAAATTGAAACAGAAGAGGCGTTTCCCAATTTGTTTTATGAGGCCACAGTTATCCTGATAGCCAAACCATATAAAAACTCAAAAGAGAATTAGACTAATTTGTGAATATATATGCAAAAATTACTTGCAAATTGAATCCAAGAACACACAAAAAAGGTCATTCATTCACCATGATCAAGTATGTAAGATCCATCCCAGAAAATGCAGGCATAGTTGAACATACAAAAATCTGTCAATGTAATCCACCTTATAAACAAACTGAAAGGACCCCCCCCACACACACAGGATCATTTCATTATATGGAGAAAATGCTTTGACAAAAATACCCTTTCATGATAAAAGCCCTGGAGAGAACAGTGATACAAGGGACACACCTAACATAATAAAGACATTTACAGGAAGCTACAGCCAGAATTAAGTTAAATGGACAGAAACTTAGAAGCAATGCCACTGAAGTCATAACCAAGTCAAGGCTATCCACTCTCTCCATATCCACTCAACATAGTACTTGAAGTCTTAGCTACAGCAATAAGGCAACTGATGGGGATCAAGGGGACATAAACTGGAAACAATGAGGTAAAAGTATCTCTGTTTGCAGATGATATAATAGTAAACATACATGAACCTAAAAATTCCACTGGGGAACTCCTACAGCTGATAACCACTTTCAGCAAAGTAGCTGGATACAAAAATAACTCTTGCACACACAAAACCCTTCTATATACAAATGTCAGAAGAGAAATAGTCTCAAATAAGGTATCTTGGAGTATCTATAGGAAAGTGAAAGACTTGCATGATAAAAACTTTTGAGACACCAAAGAAAGAATCAGAAGAAAATATCAGGAGATTGAAAGATATCCCATACTCCTGGGCTGGTGAGACTAATATAGTAAAAATGGTCATCCTACCACAAGTGATGTATAGACAATGTAATGTTGTACTCTGGAGTCCACAAATATGCTGTACTCTGGAATTCGTATGTTCACTGTGAATGTACAATTGTACATAGATACAACATGCATATACATATACACACAAAATAACAAATGCAATGAAAAGAAAAATGTTATATGACGCCCTCAGTAATTTATATTTTGATTACTTTGGTATTTAGGTACTCACATCCAAATATCTACTCTTTCCCTCAATGTTTCTAAGCCCCTTATTCATATCTCAAATCTAGTTCAATGCTACTTCAGTGGATTTTAATCTGCCAGACTATTGAGTTTTTTTAAAAAAGTAGGCTGGGTGGTGGTGGTGCGCGCCTTTAATCCTAGCACTCATGAGGCAGAGGCAGGCGGATCTCTGTGAGTTTGAGACCAGCCTGGTCTACAAGAGCTAGTTCCAGGACAGCCTTCAAAGCCACAGAGAACCCTGCCTCGAAAATCCAAAACAAAACAAAACAGTTTAAATTACAGGGACTGGAGAAATGGTCAAGTAGTTAAAAGCACATACTATTCTTTTTTCTTATTCAAAAAAATTTCATTTTATATACCA